CTCCCAGGTTCAAGCAATTCTTCTGCCTCAGCCTCTCGAGTAGCTGGACTACAGGCGTGTGCCACCACACCCAACTAATTTTTGTATTTTAGTAGAGACAGGGTTTCACCATGTTGCCCAGGCTGGTCTCCTGAGCCCAAATGATCCAACTGCCTTGGCCTCCCAAAGTGCTGGGATTATAGGCATGAGCCACTGTGCCTGGCGTTAAGTATTTATTTTTAAAATATAAATATTTACTATAAAAAACTCAAGCAAAACAGAAAAGTACAAAGAACTATTATAGAAATAACTGAAAATCCCATGACTGTAAATGATTAGGATTCACATCTGGTAAAAATTATTCGAGAAAGAGGTGTTAATGATTTAAGTAGTAGGTCTTGATAAGTAGATATAAGTGGAACTGTGGTATTAAATCAGAGACTGAAGATGGCCTGGCCTAACACAGCTTTGTGCTAGGGAGATCCATCCACTGATTGAAAATGAAGACACATTTTTTCTTAAATATTAACATTGTTTATATGCTTATATTAGTACTGTAATCACAGGCACTGGTCCACATGTGTGAGCTAATCTTTATGCTAAATTTCATAGTATAAACAAAAAAAAACTGCACACACACTTTCAAAACCTCTATTTCCTCCTTGGAAGGTATAAAGATACATAAATGAAGAAAATCCGTCCATCCATCCATCCATCTACTCACCTCAACTAATATTTACTAAATATTTACTCTGTGCCCGGTACTACCACAGGTGAAATACTCTAAATGTAATTAACTTAAAAAACAATAAAAATGGTAGTGTTTATAACAGTGGTTAATAAATGCGGGGGAGTGACTTGAGTGAGTATGGTTTAAGAACATAGGTAAGAAATGAGAAAACGTCACTGTGAGAGTGCTGTAGGGCACTGGTCCTCAAAGTGAGGTCACCAGATCAGCAGCATCAACAACATTTAAAAACTTCACAGACATGCAAATTTTTAGGACCTGTACCCCAGACTTAATGGATCAGAAAATCTGGAGGTAGGCCCAGTAATAAGTGTTTTAACAAGCCCTCTAGAAAATTCTGATGGTCAAGCTTGAGAACCACTGTCTTAGATTTACCAAAACAAGCTCAGGATCACCATTTTGCTCAGGAAGCTGATTATCTTAGGTCTGGATCTATTTGTGTAGTTTGTGCTTCTGCTCCAGTTGCAATTTTATGAAGCCTATTTAGAGAAGAAACTAGGAAAATAATAGTACTGGTGTAGTAATTAAAAATATGGACTTTGCAGTCAGACAGACCTGGATTGGAATTCCTGGTCTACACTTACTTGTTGTGTGATGTTCTTTGAACCTCAGCATCCTCATCTTGGGATACCATTATCCATGTTACGGGGTTAGTATTGATTAGACAAGATGACACAAGTAACACATTTAGCACAATGCTTGGTAGACAGTGAATACTCACATTATTATGAAACCAATAATGAAGAGAAATGTTAAATTCAGAAAACAGACCAAGGACATAAACTGGCAATTCACAAAAAAATAAGGTATAGATGGGCAAAAAGTTTCTTTAATAATTAAATGCAAAGTAAAGCTGTGAATATAACTTTTGCCCTATTAAATTAGCAGAGAGATAAGAAAAATAATAATACTCATTGTTGGCAAGGGCATTTCATAAGCTGCATTTTCATATACTGTTAAGAAGACTGTAATTACTATAACCTAACTGAAGGTGTAGAGGACTTTTATATGCTATTCACAGAGAAAAAACCCGGAATGGAATGTACTAAATAGGTAGAGTAGGGTTTGCATAACCTGGAATGTACCAGTCTGCCTGTCTGATAACCAAAAACCGTATTATCAGGCACTAACATCTGGAACTGACAACTAACATGTGTACCTGTGATTCCTAAAGGACATGTTTGTATAGATACTATACCTAAAAGCAATAGTTCTCTAGTAATTTCTCATAAAAGAGACTTTCTAATAAAACTGAAATAACATCTGCAAATCTGAATAGCAAAAAGGGCACATTTGCTGACATTTACCAAAAAGCTTTAAAATGCCTTTACCCTTTAACACAGCACTTCTGTCAGAATTTATCCTTAAGGAAAGTAAGATTTAGCCCTGATGTTTAGCAGGGATTATTGTTTATAAGTAAAATCTAAAAACCAGCCAGTTCAGTAAAAGTGGATTCACGGATCAGAAGATGGATCTATCCAACTGTCTGTTTATAAGATAGAAAACCATGCAGCCCATTAAGTGATGCTGCAGAAGAAATTTTCATCGAAAGGCTACTGCCTGAAAAAAAAAGCAGTATAAAAGAGTCTGTATAACAACATTAAAGTGGATAATAGTGACCAAATGTTATGGGATTTTTATCATTAGTTTTGCTTATCTACCTTTCATATTTATTAATATAAATATGAAATTTATTTTAATTTATTTTATTAATATGAAAGGTGGATAAGCATTTATTAATATGTATTATTTACATAAAGGCAATAAGTTATTTCAAAATTCAAAGGCAGTTTCTCAATAAATGGCATATTTTTTTTTTTTTTTTACAAAATTTATATTATAGAGAGCTAAGATACTTATTTCTCAGCCTCTGAACAAAGATTATAAAATGATGGTTTTAAGACTTTTTAGTTTGGTTTCGGAGAAGGCATGGTAGGAATCTGTTGCTCATTTGCAGGGTTAAAAGCACTAGTGCTGAGAAAGAGTTTGAAATGTCAAAGTGAAATGCCAAAACAATAGACTTCTTCTTGCCATAAAGTCTGCCACCCACCAAACAAAAAAACGTGTGAGATATTCTGCATTTCTCAAACTTGAGTAATGAATATAACCCCATCTTTTACAAATTCAGTAGGTAATAAAGATATATTTTTAAAAAGATAAAATATATGCAAAAAGTTAATTGGTTACCCTGTCCTCCAAGCACTCAATTTCTCCTCCCACAGGCAGAGGCAGCCACTATTACTAGTTTCTTGTGCATCCTTCTAAAAATATTTTAAGGGATATAAGCAAATATGTATTTATCCACTGTATTATTATTTTTCAAATGGTAGCAACTGCTCTGTACATTCCTTTTTTTTTTTTGCTTTGCAATAGATCTTGGAGATCATTCCAAATGAACACCTACAGAGCTGCCTCATTCTACTTATCATTTGGCTATAACACAGTTCAACTGGTATGAGGATTTGAGCTACCTGGAATCCTTTGTTACCATTGTTGACGTAACAAAAGATTCCAGATAATTTAATATGCATACCTTTGTATACAGGTATAAATGTATATGCAGCACAAATTCCTAGAAATGGAATTAGTAAATGAAAAAAATGTTTTAAACTTCTGACATTTATTTTGCCAAAAAGCTCCTACAGACAACCTCTGTGAACGTCTATTTCTCTATACCCTCATGAAAAGCATATCACCAAACTTTGAACTTTGATAGTCTAATGGGTTCAAAAATGATATTTGTAATTATAATGTACATTTCTCTTATTACAAGTATTAATCTCACTTATTATCAGTGAGATTGAGCCATTTGTATTTCCTTTCTTGGGAATGGCCTGTTAGCTACAGAACCCTTTTAAGAATTAAAAAATTCTAGGAACAATGGAGCATACTTCTGTGGGCTCTTCTTTTGTAGAAATAAAATTTTACTTATGAAAATTACTTTTAGTTGAAACTGTCACTGCAAAAAAAGAATCGATAGAAGTTTAAAGTTAGTCTAAACATGGCAACATTGAAATGTAAAACAAAATCTCCACAGATCACTCCACATCCCTCCTAAACTCCCCAGTTTCTAGTTTGAGAAAGACTGATTTTGCCACAAACTTTTAGGCAGGTGTTTCCTACTGTAAGGTGACTGAAGCTCATTTTTATTTACTATTTTCCCCTTCCCATTTCCTGCCACATTGCTTCTTTCCTCACAGAGCTTGTGAGCTCTGGCTTATATTTCACTAATTTTTATTTTTGGATTTTGGCACTCTTCCCACTTAGGAAACCTCACTCATCATGTTTAAGTTGAAGAATACCTTTACAAACAAGCTTTTAAATAAAGCCTACTCACAACCTCTGTATTAAACCCTCAGCACTGAACATATACAAGGTATTTTACACACATATATTTCCCATATATCACGTGTTCATATATGTGCCTATATGTGAATTACATGTATTCATATACATATGTGCTAGATACGTGTTAGTGTGTTTTAAAGTTCTCCATTTGCTTTATTTATTGATTCTTTCTTCCCACCTAAACTCTTGTTATCCTTGAAGTTTCTTTGTTCTTATCCCACTTTGTCAAATAAAATCTGCCTGATGGTCCAAATAGCCAGACTATCATTAGCTTCATTAGTGTCAAAACACTATTGGGTTCTTTTATTTTTCTCATACCAAACTAACCTTATTTGTTCCTGCTGGCTTAATGTCATTATAATTTCTGCTTAGAAAAATTGCCTTACCAAGGAAAGTAAGCTCTACTCATCTTGGTTTGAAGTCATGTTTGCCTATATGTGTGAAGACAGAGTTTATGCATACTACAATCAGGATTTCTGTTTTACATAGCTGCTGAAGCCGGGGCTCCGAAGCTGGATTGTCTGGGTTTGAGTTTGGCCTCCATTCCTGCTTGTTATGTCATTTTGGGCAAGTTGGTCAGTATCTTTGGCAACATTTTCTTATCAATCAAATGGGGATTTTAACAGTTCCAAACTCAGTGTTCTATGAAGATTAATTGGGATAATTCGGGGCAAGCAGTTAGTATGGGGCCCAGGCCATAGAAAGAACTAGTTTCTAAATCAACAAATGCTCAATAATTTCTTCTTTAAGGCTTAGTTAACTTTTCCCTTTCAGTTTACATAACAACCTTTCCTACCCCATATCTTCACTAGGGTTTAAACCAAACTACTAACCACAGTTTAATAGAAACTTAAACTAATTACATAGACAAAAATGCATAACAAGTTTAACAAATTATTTTATGCTTGCATATATCAGAACTTACCCCTCATTACCCAAATGGCACCATTTAGGCTTCCACTTTTTAGAAAAATTTCTGCTGCAACATTCACAATCTGACATCTTGATGCTAACATCTCAGGCCCTATAAGTCCTTTTAAGCTTGTAAAGTGTATTTTTAATTCATATAGTTTATCTAACACCTTCCTTCCCTAGAATAAAAATAAAGAATGCTAATTGGGTATCAATCAATCACAGACACACAAAGCCATTGATAATTATTCACAAGCCAATTATCCAGTTTGAATCATCATCCTAGACTGCTGAACTGCTCCAAGACTCTTGCTTTAAGCCTCTTACTGTTCACAGATGAAAGTGAAAGAGGAACAAGCAAGGTTCTCCTTTATATTAACCACCCTTCCCACAAATATCACAAGACCCCCTTTATCAGCAGCCTTCTTTTTGTTTTATATACTGTACTTCTCCTTAAGATTTCATTTGACAAAAGGATTCCATTTAACATTACAAAACTACTGATTATATGTTTTTGCTTCTCTTCTGTTGGTCAATCTGGGATCTAGGAAGATTAGAGAGACAATAAATATGAAAATAATTTGTTATCAAATTTAGACACACTCAGGAGGAGGCTGAAATAGGATGATCACTAGATCCCAGAAGTTTGAGACCAGCCTGGGCAGTGTGGTAAAACCTCTGCTCCACCTCCCAAAAAATTTAGAAAAAGAATGATAGTGAAAAATAAAATTGTTAGCTAAAATTATTAATTGAGTAGATTAATTATTTCACATATTCTACCTGAAAATTACCTTTGGTCTAGACATCAGAAATTGGACATATACAATTATTTTATACAATGGGTCGGCAGCTTTTCCTGTAAATGGCCAGATAGTAAATAGTTTAGGCTTTGCAGGCCACATTTAGTCTGTTGTATATTCTTTTTGATTGTTGTTTTTTAAATTTATAACTCTTTCAAAACATAAAAAAATTCTTAGCTTGAGGGCTGTATAAAAACAGGCTTTGGGTAAATTCTGGCCCACGGGCCTTAGTGTATACTATTTGAATCTAATGCTTATTATGATGTAAAGGTACTTTCAAGGTGACTGTATAAATGAGTGCATTTTTAAAGGGATATGTTTAGTTAAATTTCAATGATTTTACTTTTACATTAAAAAAGGAACAGCCTTCATTAAAAATTCATACTAAGGTGATAAAACACTTTTCTAAATAAATTGGTTAAAATTTTAATCAAAATAGATAAAATTCACCAATCTACTGTCTTAAGAAATAATAACCAAGTAAAATTTAAAAATACTCTAAAATTTCAGCAAAATCAGTCATTCTTTTTTTTTTTTTTTTAAATTTGAGATGGAGTCTCACTCTGTCACCCAGGCTGGAGTGCAGTGGTGCAATCTTGGCTCACTGCAACCTCCGCCTCCCAGGTTCAAGCAATGCTCCTGCCTTAGCCTCCCAAGTAGCTGGGATTACAGGCATGCACCATCATGCCCAGCTAATTTTTGTATGTTTTAGTAGAGATGGGGTTTCATGTTGGCCAGGCTGGTCTTGAACTCCTGACCTCAAGTGATCTGCCCACTATGGCCTCCCAAAGTGCTGGGATTACAGGCATGAGCCACCACTCCTGGCCCAGTCTGAGTTTTTATAAAGGATCTTCTTTTTAGGTAGTCCTTAAATTCCCAAGCATTAAATAGTCAGGATATTAATGCTATGACCAACCTTAAGCTCGACTGTGAGAGCAGACACCAGGTACACCTTGCCCACTCCAGGCCTACCCCACAATAAAAGCAAAGCCTCCTGGAGACTTTTGAGCCTGGAGACTTTCTATTTAACCATTCTAGGTTAAAAAAAATTTTCTTTTAATTTATGAATTTTGTAGGTATACAGGTGACCATGTACTTAAATGTTATTGAACATATTCAATTGTGAAATAAATAACCTCTTTATAAAAGTAGCAAGTAACAAAAGATATACTTTAATAGTTAAATCAATAGTGACTATAATATCTACTCCACTCTCTATGTAACTCCATCCCTAAGCACTTCCTCCCTATTTTGGATTTCCCTGTCCTCTACTTGAACTCTGTTAAGTCTATAACTCCACCTGCCACCTCAGGAATATCTAAAGAACGGTAATACAATATGGTCTTGAGTCACTAAACCACCTCTATCTGTGGTAAACTAGGCTTCAAAGACATCAAGATATATTGTATATAGTGTTCCGGGGTATTCTAAGAGGTGATTTTTAAGAAGTTCTGTTAATTGTGAGTTTTCTGAGTTCATCTTAAGAAATGTGTCTTAGCTGGGTGCACTGGCTCACAACTGTAATCCCAGCACCTTGGGAGGCTGAGGCAGGTGGATCACCTGAGGTCGGGAGTTCGAGACCAGCCTGACCAACATGGAGAAACCCTGTCTCTACTAAAAATACAAAATTAGCTGGGTGAGGTGGCGCATGCCTGTAGCCCCAGCTACTTGGGAGGCTGAGGCAGGAGAATTTGCTTGAACCCGGGAGGCAGAGGTTGTGGTGAGCCAAGATCGCACCATTACATTCTAGCTTGGGCAGCAAGAGCAAAACTCCATCACAAAGGAAAAAAAAGAAATGTATCTTGAACTCTTCTAAAATTACAATATAACTGATACTCATGTGTTGGCAAAATAATATGAGTTGAAAGTTACTTCAAATAAATATGACATTTAGCACAGGTTCTTAACCAATTTATGCCTATAGTGTTAAGCTTGTGGGAGTTATTTACATCCTACTGTTCAAGGTCATCACCAAGGTCTGATTTTTTTCCACAAAAAAATTTGCAATTTCCGGCATAAATGGGTTAAGTGTTCTTTATACTGGGATTTTATTTATTTTTATAATAACAACTATTTTTAAAGACAGGAATCTGCCCATGCTGCCCAGGCTGGCCTTGAACTCAGCTTCCCGAGTAGCTAGAACTATAGGTACATGCCACTGCATCCAGTTTGAGATTTTTAAATAGTAGCCATTTGCTTAATATACCATCTAACAAAGCACTCACTAGTCTGGGTCCCATTTTATCAATTGTAATGATTATTAGCAAGCTACTAATTTGCAGGGTTAACTTATATTCTGTTCATAATTTTAAAGCTAACGCTCTTTATACCAAGCTAAGACAAAAACTCAATGAAGTACCTTGGACCACTGCAACAGCTTGTGATAGAAGAACAAAGCACTGATTCCGATTCTTCCCAGCACACTTTCATCTACTTTACTGTTTTGTGGATCTTTGCTAACTGAAACAAAAGTAGGCATACAAAAGAAAATAGTCACTTAAAATGATGGAAGAGGCAAACTAATACTGAATTATTGATACTACCACAAAGACCAGGTGATGGCAAACTGTGACCTGTTTTTGTATAGCCTATGAGCCAACCACGGTTTTCCTGTTTTCAAAGCATTGTTTAAAAAGAAAATAGAACAATGTGATAGAGATCACATGTGGTGTGTTCAAAGCCTAAGATATTTACTATATGGCTTTTTTGCCATATAGTAAAAAAGTTTTTTGCCATATAGAAAAAGTTTGCCAACCCCTGATAAAGGCTACAGTAGTAAAGAACTCAGGTCAAAAACAAAACAAATTCAAAACTATATAAATTCTGTTTACTTGTGATAGTAAGGAGAGTAACAACTTAAAGAATTCAAAATTCAGGTGCTCCAGTATAATTTGCTAGCAATAGTTTTACCAATTTGAGTGAAAAGAAAAATAAGAATATAAAACATCTGATACTAAAACACCAATTCCTCACCTTTTATCATTATAATCTAACTTAAAAATAAATAGATGGAAAACTTCAGAAACAGAAGGAAGAGTATCTGAAACCTGCATTAATTTGTTCACAACCTGGAAAATATTAAAGAGTTTTACAGTCTTGTTAAGAACACTGCCACTGGCCAAGCTGTGCCTTATGTCTATGATACTACTGCTTTGAGAGGCTGAGGTGGGAGGATCCCTTAAGCGCAAGAGTTTGAGACTAGCCTGGGCAATGAAGCAAGACCCCGACTCTACAAAAAATAAAAAAATTAGTGACATGTGCTTGTAGTCCCAGCTCCTTGGGAGGCTGAGGCAGTAGAATTTCTTGAGCCCAGGAGTTCGGCGCTGCAGTGAGCTATGACTGCATCCCTATACTCCAGCCTGGGTAAGAGAGGAAGACCCTGTCTCTAAAAATAAAAAAGAATACCACATCATCCTCATAGTACAAGATTCAGGCCAAAAGTTACATTTTACCTGTTTCAGCAAATTCACAAAAGGGAACATCTGGTCCTTCTTTTTCATAGTGTTTTGTGAGTGTTTTAGCAATGCAAGCACAAAATGTCTCAAAATCTGCAAGTTTTTCACAGCCCATTTTTACATTAAGGTATAATTTTCCCAATCTGGTCCAGTCACCTTTTTCTTTACAATGCTATCAAAATTATTAAAAACAAAAGAAAAAAGAATGAAAACTATGTCATTTATGCAAACATGGTTTTAGAGTCAAGCACATTTATGCATTAGATATACATAAATTAGTAAGACAAAATTTGAAGATCTTATAAACTTAATGACAAGCACCACATCAATAATATACTATTGTAACTTTGCTTTTCTGGCTATAGTAAAGCCTCTATAAATTCCAAATAGCAATGCACATTTGCTTTAATTATCCAGGTCTTAAAGTGTTTAACTATATTCACCCCCAAACCTGAACTTGACAGTGGAGATGGATTTTATGGAAAACAAATGATGAGCAGCATGATTTGAGCTATCTCCAGGGCAATGCTTTTTTTTTTTTTTTTGAGACAGAGTTTTGCTCTTGTTACCCAGGCTGGAGTGCAATGGCGCGATCTCGGCTCACCGCAACCTTCGCCTCCTGGGTTCAGGCAATTCTCCTGCCTCAGCCTCCTGAGTAGCTGGGATTACAGGCACGCGCCACTGTGCCCAGCTAATTTTTTGTATTTTTAGTAGAGACGGGGTTTCACCATGTTGACCAGGATGGTTTCGATCTCTTGACCTCGTGATCCACCCGCCTCGGCCTTCCAAAGTGCTGGGATTACAGGCGTGAGCCACTGCGCCCGGCCTGGCAATGCATTATTTTACTACTTTTAGAAATTGCATTTTAATGTTATGTGGGCCCAAATTATAAATGGCCAAATATAATTTTGGACATTACATTCTACAAAGTGGCTACAAAGTAAATTTGAGTAAACCTATTATCTTTCTATAATTTCTGTTAAAAACTTAAAAAGTTTTTCATACCAACAAAAAAGTAGTCTAAAGGATATAAAAGTACTGATTAAAACCAGAGCAACAATTACTACATAAATACAAAAATGATATTAAATTTAAAAGTAATAATCATCCTTAAGGTCCTCAATTCTTATACTCTAAATGGTTGGAGAGTTCTGTGTGATCTGGGCTTTCTTCCACCATTTCATGTACTGTAACCATCCATGACAAGTACCTCAGCTTTCCTGTGAACTGAGTGAGTCTGCCCACCCTCAAGAATCAAAGGCTAAGTTTTGAATTATTATTTTACTTTAATGTAAGTTAATTTTGAAACTGAACAATTATTTTTAGAATTATTTGTAAAACAGTCTACAACTCTAGAAATTAAAATGTTTGCATTTCAAAATATTAACTTGTAAGAAAAATAAAACTTCCTTTTCTTGAGCATTTTCTCTGTATAACAGCCACATTTCTAAAACTTTTCATAAAATGGAGTTATTCAAAACTTTTTGGTTGCTATTGATTTTCAGAGATCCCAGCGATGTATTTAAAAATAATAAATGTCTTTTTTTTTCTTTTCTCCTAGACAGAACTATGGTTCAGAAGGATAAAATAATAAATGTCATACCTCTAATTTATTCAAGGCTGAATCTAAATCACACTTCCAGTTCTTTTTAAATAGCCTCGTCTGTAACCTTTAACAACAGAAAAGGGTTAATTATACTGTATTCACCCCTTAAAAGTCACTGCTGCTTCTAATTAATCTTTTCTGTAGTTTATACCTAAGAAACCAGAGGAAAAAAAATGAATGTATATAATATGCTATAAATATTCTTCAGAGCTTAAAAAAAAAGGCAGCGATATAGATATTTACTTTATACTATTTCCTCCCCAAAACAATAAGAAGGAAAAAGCAAATTCCACATGAAATCATACCTTCAGCCTAACTTGAAGACAGAAGATGCCAAAACTTCAAAATAACTGTGACTAGAAGGAGAAAAAAAGGACCAAATATGATCTCTATTGCTCCTACCCTACCCTTACTGCTCCACGGGATTTGTGGCAAGCAAAGACAGACCAAAACAAAAACAGAGCAAGTAAACACACAAAACCTGACGGGGAGAACTGAAGAGGAAACTACCAGAAAGATCTAACATTGATTTAAAAATACTGACACAAAGACTAAGTCCACATTAAATCTGAAAATGCTAAAAAACCAAAAGCATCTGGGTAGATCAGAACACAGATCACAAGGAATGATCTTAAAAGTCTGTGTGATTTAAAGGAAGCAGTTTTTGAAATGCACAGTTTTTGTTAAAGAAAAACAGACAAAAATGAAATAAACACCCTTTGGCAATTAGAAAGAAAAGAAAAAAAAAGGCAGAAGGAGTAAGAAGGTACCATTAAACTAGGAGTATTATGTAATACCCAACTATGAGCTCATCAATTTTGGCAATTTGTCTAGAGCATTAAGAAGGAAGAACATACTATCACATTTGGGATTAAGAAAAAAATGAAAAACAATGTTCTAACTCCTTTTACAAAGCAAGTATAACTGATATTTAAACTAGATAGACAGGCTGTGTGAGGTGGCTCACACCAGAAATCTCAGCACTCTGGAAGGCCGAGGAGGGCAGATCCCTTGAGCCTAGTAGTTTGAGACCAGCCTGGTCAATATGGTGAATCCTACCTCTGCAAAAATTAGCCGGGCATGGTGGCATGCACCTGTAGTACCGGCTACCTGGGAGACTGAGGTGGGAGGATTACCTGAGCCCAGGAGGTCTGGGCTGCAGTGAGCCATAACTGCACCACTGTACTCCAGCCTGGGAAACAGAGCAAGATCCTACCTCAATCAATAAACAGTCAAACAAAAAACAATACATAAAATGATACAGAAAACCTCATTTATAATAGCACCAAAATATTAAGTACTTATACAAGGAAAATTATAAAACACTCCTGAAAGACACATTACTACTACATGGAGTTAGGAAGTTGACACTAAATATATGGAAAAGCATACATGCAAGAAGATCCAGGAAAACACTGGAAAACTATGAAAAAGAATTATCCCTACCAAATACTAAAATATACTATTAAAACTTCCATAGTTACTACAGTGTGGTTCCAGTGCAGGAGTAGGCAAACATTCCAGTGGAATAAAATACAAAGTCGAGAAACAGACACCATCATATACGGAATTTAGAATATGGTAAAGGTGGCATCTCAACTGGAGGTAAAGATGCACACTGTAATACACGTTGTTGGGAAAGGTGGATAATCATTAGAAAAAGCTATAACTGGAGCCATATCATACAACATACCTAAGAGAAAAAAACTCCATGTAGATTAAAAACCTAACTGTATAAATGAAATCATACAATAGTAGAGGAAAACATGTGCCAGTTTGCCTAAAACATTCATGTAGAGAAATGATGACCCCAAATCCACATGCAATAAAACATAACCTTGACTCAAAACTGAGAAAAAAGATTGAAATATAAGATTGCATAAAAATAAAACCTTTTGCATGGTAAAAAACACTAGAAGGTCAAAAGACAACTGACGAACTGGAAGAAAAATTGCAATATTTACTACAAAAGCCTAATACCTGTAATATGTTAAGAACTCTAAAAGTTTAAGGAACAAAGAACAAAAACCTAATAGAAAGAGGGGAAAAAGAATGAAGAGTTCATACAAAACATGTAAAAATAGTCCTCAAGTATATGAACAGAAAATGCTCAAATTCATTCATGAGAGAAATGCAAACTAAAAGACCATTTGTCATCTAATAGTTAAGCAACCATTAAAAAGTATTATACGATGGCTCACGCCTGTAATCCCAGCACTTTGGGAGGCCGAGGCGGGTGGATCACAAGGTCAAGAGATCGAGACCATCTTGGTCAACATGGTGAAACTCCACTAAAAATACAAAAAATTAGCTGGGCATGGTGGTGCGTGCCTGTAATCCCAGCTACTCAGGAGGCTGAGGCAGGAGAATTGCCTGAACCCAGGAGGCGGAGTTTGCAGTGAGCCGAGATCGCGCCATTGCACTCCAGCCTGGGTAATGAGAGCGAAACTCCATCTCAAAAAAAAAAAAAGGATTATAACACATTATGTTAGAAAGCTGGGCTGAAATAGGTAGTCTCATATCTCTGATGGGAACACAAATAGGTACAACTGTTCTGGAGGGAAATTTGGCAATACCTAACAAAAGTTATATATACTTATCTTTAAAAGTTATAAACTTATCTTTAAAAATTATTGATTTTTAAATAAGCTCACAGGAATTTCCAAAAATAGTACATAATGTCCTAGGTACTCTTCACCCAGCTTTTTCTAATAGTGACATCTTATATACTACCAGGAAACTGACATTGGTACAATATTGTTTACTGTAGGCCTTATTCAGTTTTTGCCAATTTTTACATATATTTGTGTAACCACAACTGTTCCATTTCCACAAAAGAATTTTCTCATGCTACCCTTTTATACTCATCCCTCTCCACTGTCCCTGTCCCCTGACAACCACTAATCAGTTCTCCACTTCTTAGTTTTGTCATTTAGGGGATATCACATAAATGAAATGTATACATTGTGCAGCATGTAGCCTTTTGAGATTAGCTTTTAAAATTCAACATAATTCCCTTGAGATCAGTGCTGCACATTTCAATAGTTTCTCCCTCTTTTTCCTGAATAGTATTCCATGGTATGTACCACAGTTGAACTATAACTATTCATTCACCTATTGAAGGATATATGAGTTTCTTTCCAGTTTCTGGTTATAACAATTTAAAGCTGCTAAGAACATTTACGTATAAATTTTGATGTGATCATAAGTTTTCATTTCTCTAGGATAAATGTCCAGGAGTTCAATAGCTGTTTTTGGTATGTACATGTTTAGTTTTTAGAGAAACTGTTGAACTGCTCTTTGGAGTGGCTGTATCATTTTATATTCTCACCAACAGCATATGATCCAGTTTATCCATACCCTCCCCAGCATTTGGTGTTAACACCATTAAAAAAAAATTTTCTGTCATTCTGATAGGTGTGTGGTGATATCTCATATGGTTTTGTTTTATATTTCTCTTGTGGCTAACAATGTTGAATTTATTTTCATGTGCTTAGTGGCCATCTGCATACCCTCATTGGTGAAACATGTCTATGTCTTTAGCCCGTTTTCTTTTTTTTGGAGACCTTCTCACTCTGTCACTCAGGCTGGAATGCAGTGGCATGATCTAGGTTCACTGCAACCTCCACTTCCTGTGTTCATGTGATTCTCCTGCCTCAGCCTCTCGTGTAGCTGGGACTAGAGGTGTGCACCACCACACCTCATTTTTCTATTTTTAGTAGAGTCAGGGTTTCACCATGTTGGCCAGGCTGCTTTCAAACTCCTGACCTCAAGTGATCTGCCACCTTGGCCTCCCTAAGTGCGGGGATTACAGATGTAAGCCATTGTGGCTGGCCCCCATTTTCTAATAGTATCATTTGTTTGTTTACTATTGAATTTTGAGACTTTTAAAATATATTCTCAGCTGGGTATGACAATATATTTTAAAATATATTCACAGTGACTCATGCCTGTAATCCCAGCATTTTGGGAGGCTGAGGCAGGTGGATCATGAGGTCAGGAGTTCAAGACCAGCCTGGCCAACATGGTAAAACCCGTCTCTATTAAAAATACAAAAATTAGCTGAGTGTGGTGGTTTGCATCTGTAAGTCTAGCTACTCAGGAGACTGAGACAGAAAAATTGCTTGAACCCAGGAGGTGGAGGATGCAGTGAGCTGAGACTGTGTCACTGTACTCCAGCCTGGGTGACAGAGCAAGACTCCACTTTTGAAAAAAAAAATGTGTATATATACATATAGTATCTAGATTGTGTGTGTATATATATACACATACATATACATTCTAGATACAACATTCCTTGTGAAAATGTTGTTTACAAATATTTTTCCCTAGTCTGTGGCTTATCAACACTTTATTTCATAGGTTGCTTTTGGTGTCATCTCTTAGCCTTCTTCATTTAGCCCCAGGTCTCCAAATTTTCCCCTAAAAGTTTTATAGTTTTACATTTAAATTCATGATTCATTTTGAATTAAAATTTTTGTATAAGTGTCAGGTTTGGGTCAGTTTTTTGGTTTTTTTACTATGGAGGTTTAATTGTTTCTGCATCATTTGTTTAAAAACTAGATTTCTTCCATAGAATTGCTTTTTGTACCTTAGAAAATCAATTGAACATATAGTAGTGTTGTTTATTTCTGGATTCCCTCTTTTCCTTTCATCTATATGTCTCTCCCTTCATCCAATAACAGTGTCTTAATTACTTGATTACTGTTAGTAAGTCTTAACATTAAATAGAGTGAATCCTTTTACTTTATCCTATTTTTTTTTTTTTTTTTGAGACAGGGTCTCAATCTGTCATCCAGGCTGGAGTGCAGTGGTGCAATCACAGCTCACTGCAGCCTCTATCTCTGGGGCTCAAGTGATCCTCCCACCTCAGCTCCCAAGTGGCTGGAACTATGGGCACACACACAGGTGTGTGCCACTATGCCCGGCTAATTTTTTATATTGTTTTGTAGAGATGGGGTTTTGCCACATTGTCCAGGCTGGTCTTGAATTCCTGGGCTTAAGTAATTTGCCTGCCTCGCTCTCCCAAAGTGTTGTGATTACAGGTGTGAGCCACTGCACCCA